CACTGAGTATCCACTGGATTTCAAAATTTTACGCCTGCTTAGTCTCCTCAGAGTTTTTAACATGCCAATACATATAGGATTTCTCACAGATGATAAAGTTAATAATAGGTAACTTCTGCAGAGCATTTATTGTGGGCTAGCTTAAATGCTTTACACAGATCAGGCACAAATACAGTAATTATCTCCATTATATATAGAAGAAAAATAGACTTAAAATTAATTTGCCTCAGGTCATGTGGCTAGTTAGTAAATGAGGATTAAAACTTAGGTCTGTCTGATTCTGGAGTTAGCTCTTTTAATGCTCAAGCTATAATTTCAACAAAGGATATGATTATGAAGCACTTCCCAAAGTATTTAGCCATGGAATACTAACCAACGAAAAGCTATTAAAATTTACTTGAAGAAGTATTTTCTACAACAGTTTGGGAATGCTGACTTACTCTGCGCCAAAATTAAAAAAAAAAAAAAAGATTACGTGATTAAAATAGATATAATACTTAACTGCATGCACAGTAATTACAAATCCAAAACACTTACAGAGAAGAAAACAGTATACCCAGTATATTAACTGTATTTAGATAGTAAGAGTCAAAGCTTTTTTCCCTTTTTCCTCTACTAAATTTTAAAAAATAAATTTTTATGATAAAAAGCTTTGAAAAGTATTAGCTAAGTTACTCTGCCCTTTCACATTGTTTTTTTCAACATAACCACCATATTTCATCAAACCTAAAATGCTGCTGTAAGATGTCACTAATCATAAAATCAGGTGAAGCTGGTTTTATGAAATACATGAATTTAGATTGTATCTTAATCATTAAAACACATACAAAAAAGATTATTTCTGAGATTCCTTTTTTTAAGCTTTTTTTTTTAAACTGGATCAATTTTTTTTTTAATTTTTTTACTGAATTTGTTACAATACTACCTGTGTTTTGTTTTGTTTTGTTTTGTTTTTTTGCCACGAGGCATTTGGGATCATAGCTCTCTGACTAGGGATCAAACTCACACTCTCTGCATTGGAAGGTGAAGCCTTACCCACTGGACCATGAGGGAAGTCCCTGAGAGTCCTATTATTTATAAACGGCTTCCCTTTACTTCAGCAATCTCTTCAGTAGTCTTCCCCACTCTGATTTTACATTGCCAGTATTTTAAAAATTAACAAATCTTCTACCCCAATCTCTCAATGTTAGGAACCAAACAAACAATTGCTTTGAAATGGAAGTTTTAACTGCAGATTTTCATTTTTACTTTATAGTATAGAGAATTCCACAAAAATTTGGAAGTGATTCTCTATTTTTCAAAATATCTGATTTTGCTGTTTCAGAATTGCAATTAGCTGTTTATATTTATATTCTCCTTATATTTATATTTATGTATTTATATACTCCTTTAATTTATATTCTCCTCAGACACTCTAAGCATTGTATCTCATCAAATATAGGATACTGTCTATTGTAAAATGGCTCCAGTAATTAAGGAAAAAACCATAGCTGATTTAACTGATCTAATGCTCTCTTACCTTTAGTCACATCCTGTATTATGTACTGAAATACCTGCTTTGAATTTACTGCTTTTGGCTTTCAAGTATGTGATCAGGGAATGAATTCAAATTTCAGCTCTGCCACTCATTCACTAGCTGTGACTTTATTACTGAAGTATAGCTGATTTACAGTGTTGTGTTAGTTAAAGGTGCACAGCAAAGTAATTCAGATACACACACACACACACACACACACACACACACACACACACGTTCTTTTCCAGATTCTTTTCCCATATAGGTTGTTACAAAATATTGAGCATAGTTCCCTCTGCTATACGGTAGGCCCATGTTACTTAACCCATTTTATATAAAGTAGTGAAAGTTACTCCCAAATTCCTAATTTACAGCCCCCTGCCCCATCTTTCCCTTTTGGTAACTGTAAGTTTGCTTTCTACATCTATGACTCTGTTTCTGTTTGGCAAATAAGTTCACTTTCAGATTCTACATATAAGTGATATCGTATGATATTTGTCATTCCCTCTCTGACTTAACTTCACTTAGTATGATAATCTCTAGGTTCATCCATGGGGCTGCACATAGCATTATTTCATTCTTTTTTATGGCTGAGTAGTATTTCATTGTGCATATGTGTGTGTGTGTGTGTGTGTGTGCGCACACGTGTGTTTCTATACACACCATATCTTCTTTATCCATTCATCTCTTTGATGGACATTTAAGTTGCTTCCACTTCTTGGAATAAATAATGCTTAGGTAAACACTGGGGTGCGTGAATCTTTTCGAATTACAGTTTTCTTCAGCTATCTTCCCAGGACTGGGATTGCAGGATCATATGGTAGGTCTAATTTTACTTTTTCAAAGAATCTCCATGCTGTTATTCACAGTGGCTGCACCAATTTACATTCCCACCAACAGTGCAGGAGGGTTTCCTTTCCTCCACACTCTCTACAGCAATGATCATTTGTAGATTTTTTTGATGATGGCCATTCTGACTGATGTAAGGTGATAACTCACTATAGTTTTGATTTGCATTTCTCTAATAATTAGTGACGTTGAGCATTTTTCATGTGCCTTTTGGCCACCTGTATGTCTGCTTTGGAGAAATGTCTATTAGATATTCTGCCCATTTTTTGATTGGTTTGCAAGGTGAACACCACAATAATCCAGTTAACATCCTTTACCATACACAGTTACAATTTTTTTTCTTATGATGAGAACCATCAAGATTCAGTCTCCTATTTTCTAATATGCAAAACTATTATTAACCATAGTCACTATGGTGTACATTACATCCCTGTGACAATCATTTTACAAGTGGAAATTTGTATTTATTCTTGACTGTTTTTCTTTATTCACCAGAGCCTTCTTCCCCTTTACGAATGAGGAACAGGGGATGCTGTAGGGCGTAAGGGATGGCTATGAGAGTATGGCTAAGAGAAGACAGGCCATGTATTTCAAACGCTATTGCCATTAACACAGAAAAGCTTTTTGTCCAGTGATATGTACATAAAATTTTAAAAGGGATATGTCTTGGTTTCCCAAGACCCTCTACCAAACAAGGTCATCTTTTATCTGGTCAGATTTTTCCCTATAGGATTTAAACAAACCTTTACCTTATAGGTGCACTCACCACTATTTTTTTTTTCCATTTCTAATCTAAGAACACAGTTAATAATAGTAGCCACTATTTTAATGGGCCTGGCATATTACATACACTGTCATTTAATCTTTACAATCTTGTGACACAATATTTCCAGTTTATAGATAAACTCAGAGAAATTATGTGACTTGTCTAAAACCATTCAAATATTAAACAGTAAAGCCATGATTTTAACTTGTGTTTGATACTCCTAACCTCACACTAGGAGTCATTTTAAAGTGTTCCCCAAATAAAATTAAAAAAGATTAACTCATCATCCATTAAAATTCTTGCATAACTAAATTATGAGGACGGAACGTCTCATTGGCCATTTCTAACCACCCCTAGTTAAGCCACCACAACTCCTCAGAATTTATGCACAGGTCTCCTACCTGGTCTTTCACCCTATTCTCTCCAGTCTATTCTGTAGAGCAGCCAAAGAGATCCTTTCAAAAAGGCAGTCAGGATATAACCCTTCACTGCTCAAAACCCTTCAATGACCTAGATGCCCTTCAAAATCCTTCATGACCTGTTCCTGCTCTCTGATTCTTTCTCTAGCTTTAACTCCTTCACTCAACTCTGACCAAAGGCTTCCTTGCTGTTCAGGCGAGTTTCTGCCTGATGGCTTTTGCAGTGTTTGATCCCTCAGCCTGACTCCACTACCGCAAAATACGGTTGGTGTTCAGTCACTAAATGCCGTCTGACTCTTTGTGACCCTATGGACTCTAGCCCGTCAGGCTTCTCTGTCCATGGGGATTTTCAGGCCAGAATACCGGAATAATTTGCCATTTCCTTTTCCAAGTGAGCTTTCTGGACCAGGAATTGAATCTGTGTATCCTGCATTGGCAGATGGATTCTTTACAACTGAACCACTAGAGAAACGCCGCGCCCCCGCCCCAAACTAGTCTTACAATTAACGCTCTTGTTTCTGGCACCTCTACTTGAGAGTGACCTTTTCAGTGAGACCTTCAATGGCCACACTAAAATTTCAAGCCATATCCCCCTTCCCAGCTTTACTACTTTTCTTTTCAGCACTCATTACGACCTAAGACACGGTCATGTTTTAAACTTCGTTTAATATATGTCTTCCTCAATTAAACATGAACTACGGGAGAAAGGAATTTTTATCTGTTTTACTCAGTCTTTTTACCAATGCCTAAAACGGTGCCTGGAACACGGTGGACCTGTGCAAAGAGCGAATTCCTATCACTGCACCCAGTGATCTCTCACACACACAAAAGTAAACATGTTTGCGCATATATTTTTTCCACTAACATCCTTTCCCTCGGCCCCGCGTCCCGTTTTACAAACTTGGCTCCTTCAAGAGGTCCCAAGCTCGTCCATGTTTCCTCAGGCCTAGATCCGCGTTGCTGCGCGGGGTCTTCCCACTAGTACCCGCAGGCCAGGTCCTATCTCCCGAAGGCCAGTAAGGGAACGAGGACTCCTACGACCGTAATCCGCCCTCCCCGGGACCCAATGCGGACAACACTCACATGTACTGGTGGACTGATGCACCTCGGGAGCCTCGGCCGGGAGCAGGTTAGGAGCGCCTCCGCCTCACGGAGGCAGTGAGAAAGGACCCAATAAGGTGTCCTCGTTAAACGCCCGAGCGGTCTACAGAGTCCACTCCAAATTCTCTGTCCCCCGCTTTCCTGTGCCCAGCCACACCACATTCCCTGTCGTCCATTCCCTCAGTAAATAACGCTAATCATCCTGCACCTCTTCCTCGGTCTCTACATTTTCGCGCCAGGTTGGGCAAGAGGCAAGATGCCAGTCGCCGGGGTCTTTCCTTAGAATTCCGTCGCAGAATTTGTGATGTCAGAGGAAAGGGCCGAGCTGCGGGTAGCTGGGAGAGAGGGGACCTGTCAGCGGAGAGCGCCGGGCTCGTTCTCCTGGCCGGATTCCGAGCTGGCAAGGCCCGCTGACTTCGCTCGCGGACAGAGGGCAGTCTTGGAGCTCCCGTAGCTCCAGGAGCAGCCTCTTTTGTAGAAGTACCTGCAATGCGCGGCCTGGTGCCCTAAGCAATAGCGGCAACGCCAGCCACAGCGACAGCTCTGGGGCCCTGTGTAGCAGCTCCATTCCCTTATCTTTGTGTCAGCCTGCGGCCCCAGACCCAGAGGCAGGTATTTCGGTTTCCCAGTTTTTTATGGGTGGGTGTGACGGGAGGTAGAGGAAGGTCAGGTGCAGCGAGTGGCCCCGCACTTCCCGCTGTGATTGAAAGAGGTCACCGGTGCTGCTTTTGGTTACTCATCACAGTTTCCAATCCCCACCCACAGCCCCCCTCCTCCCTACTCACCTGGGTCCACCGAGAACTGTAGGCAGCTTTTTAAAAGGAATTGCTGCCTGACTGTTCAAAGGAAGGTTGAAAGAGGAGCTGAGAGAATATGGATTCGGCTCTCCACTAGTCAACGTAGATTCGAACTCTTGCTTTGGTTTCTTGTTTTCGAAGGCTTAGCCAGTTATCGACATGTGACATTCATTTGTGAAGTGGAAGAATGTAAAAGAGTTGTCAGTGGTTGCTTTTCAAGGACTCTTGTCCCTGTCTTTGTTTGGGCTAGAAAGACAGCTGTTTGCAGAAAAGTATATAAAGTAAATGGACTAGTGTTATTAACCCATTAAAAATGTGTCAACTTTTATTTATAATGAAATAAGCATCTTTTGCCCAATTTTTGACCTTTTTTGCCTGTGATACATTTCCGCTTCAAGTTCTTTGAGGGTAAATATTGTCGTGTTTGTTCACTGGTGGGGCAGAAGCTTTAAAAAGTGCCTGACTTAAAATAGGAACTTAAGGATATTTGGTGAATGAATGAATGTTCAAATCCAGCTTCTTTAATTGTTTTTTTTTTCTCTCTCTCCCTCTCAACTAATCTCTCATCTCAGCTGTTTTTTTCCCCCACTGACCTTCTTCCACTCACCAAGTGTGAGGAAATCTATGTAAGTGTATTTGTTGTATGTGAACCTTTTTATGTATACCCAACTTAAGACGTAGTTGAAGCAGAATGTTGATGAAATGGTTTGTGCTAACTAGTGTTTTATCGTTTTGAATTATTTGCGTTGTATTTGGTGATTTGATCTTTAGTTGTCTAAGTGATAGGTGTGTCTGATTGAAAATCAAAAGACATAGTAATAGTAAGATGCAGCGGCTCAGTGTCTTTCTGCCCTCAGTCCTGTTCCTTCAAAGATAACCACATTTAATCTTTTCGAATTTTGGGTATGTATGTTGAATAGTATGTTAAACCGCTAATTCTTTTTTTAAAAATTGACTTAAGATAGCCCACACCATCCACAACCTCTCTTCTATAAATTTTTAAGTGGTTATCACAATTTTTAGTTTTAATACTGGTTAATTTCATAATTCTAAGTAATATGTAAACTTTACTTTTTCACATCAGCTTTTGAAAATACATATATTTGGCTCCTTGTTTAGTAAAACAAGGAAAGTAGTGACTCTACCTTTATATGGCAGAAACCACATCCACTCACTCCTGCCTTTCAGTAGATGGACTTTTCCTTATACATTGACAACCTTATTAATAGTTACAGTGTATTTCTTAACTCCAATTGTTTTTTGTTTTGTTTATGTGTATAAAAACCAGTAAAATGTTACAATATTATGGTTTTGTAAATAAAGTTCAGTGCATAGCCAAGAAATATGCCATTATACATTTTCTTCCAGGTGTTTAATTTCATAACCTATGTACCACACTAATGAGATTGTAATATTAATGTCAAATGGATTGTTCTTTCTTCCTCTGCAGTAACCAAAATTATGCCATAGTTAAGTGTGCTTAATTTTTTCGATTATATACTTCTTATCTAGTTTTTGACCCTCCTCACTTTCACAGAGGACTTTGTACTTTCTTCGAGGGAAAAGATTCATGTGCTTTATTCACCAAGTCCTCTTATTCTTTGTATGAGAACCTCCCTGCCATTTCTCTGCTTGAAGACATTCCCCTTGGAGCCCCATTACTTTCTTTTTGATTTGAACAGATTACCTTCTGGTCCTTTTGACAACTTCTATACTGAATTATATTCATTGAAATCTTGAATAAGGTACTTGTTACAATATTGTATAAAGGTACAATAAGGTACAATGTCTTTTACTACTTGATTTTCCCCTCTGTTTTGATAGAATACATCCTTAAAAAATTTATTCATAAAAACATGTGGGTAGTGATTTTATTTTTTAGTGTTTGCATAGTGTAAATTATTTTACTATTATGATTGATAGTTTGGCTGGGTATAGAAACTAAATTATGTTTCTTACAGTTTTTCAGGGCATCACCATCTTCTAACTTCCATTGATGCTCTTGAGGACATGAGAATGAGTGTTGGATCTTGATGTTTTGATGCCTGAACTATTTGTTTTCTCTCTGAAATGATTAACATTTTTAGTTATACTTGAAGCTTTGAATATCTGCTATGGCATGTTTTGTTCTCCTTGCAATGAACTCATTCAGTGAAGCCTGAATAAATATCTCTGGTTAATTTAGTCTTCTTAAAATTAGAAGCCTCTTTAATTTCCCTTCAACTGTGGGTAATTTTCTCCTGGTCTTTTATACTTTTTTCCTCTTTATTTTTCTCTGTTCTCTTTTGTTGAAATTACTGTAAGGTGGTTGTTGAATTCTTGGCTTGATTCACTGTGTTTGTAATCTTTTATGTTTTTATCTGTTTGTGCATTTGCTTCATGTTCTGAGTAGTAGTCTCAACTTTATTTTCCAACACTTCTGTCTAGTTTTTTGATCATATGTTTAATTTACAAGCACTAATTTTTAAAATTATTTTTCTCATATTACCTTAATTTTGTTTCATTGTTATTTTTTTAATGAGATAAAATTTACATATATTAAAATGCACTGATTTTAAGTGACCAGTTTGGTGAGTTTTGATACATGTCAACAGACATGTAGCATTCACCACCCTAGTCAAGATGTGAAACATTTGTGCTATTCCACAAAGTTCCTCTCTGGTGACTGCAGCCATGAAATTAAAAGGCGCTTATTCCTTGGAAGGAAAGTTATGACCAACCTAGACAGCATATTAAAAAGCAGAGACATTACTTTGCCAACAAAGGTCCGTCTGGTCAAGGCTATGGTTTTTCCAGTGGTCATGTATGGGTGTGAGAGTTGGACTGTGAAGAAAGTTGAGTGCTGAAGAATTGATGGTTTTGAACTGTGTTGTTGGAGAAGACTCTTGAGAGTCCCTTGGACTGCAAGGAGATCCAACCAGTCCATCCTGAAGGAGATCAGTCCTGGGTGTTCATTGGAAGGACTGATGCTGAAACTGAAACTCCAATACTTTGAGCATGAGCCACCTCATGCAAAGAGTTGACTCACTGGAAAAGACCCTGATGCTGGGAGGAATTGAGGGCAGGAGGAGAAGGGGACGACAGAGGATGAGATGGCTGGATGACATCACCAACTCGGGCATGACTTTTGAATAAACTCCAGGAGTTTGTGATGGACAGGGAGGCCTCGAGTGCGGCAATTCATGGGGTTGCAAAGAGTCGGACACGACTGAGTGACTGAACTGAACTGAACAAAGTTCCTACCTTTCCCTTTCCAAGACTGTTCCCACAACCCTCCTCCCCACCCCAGGCACTACATTCTCATTCCTATCACTATAGTTTAAAACTGTAGTTCTGTAACATTTAAATGGAGCCATAGGATATGAACTCTTCTGTGTCTACTGCTTTCATCAACATAATATTTTTGAGATAGATCCATATATTGGCATGTTTATTCCTTTTTTGTTGTTTAGAAATAGTGTTTCATTGTATGAATATACCACAACTTGCTTAGCAGTTCACGTGTGTGATGTTTACATTGCTTCCAGTTTGGGACTGTTATGAATCAAACTACTGTGAACATTCTCATACAAGTATTTTTTTTTTTTTATAACTAAAGAACATTTATTTGTTTTTCACCAAGACTTTATCTTGAGGGTGTAACTAAACTGTGCCTCCACTCCCCACCCCAATTTGAAGGAGGATTAGTACAGTGGATGTTATAAAGCAGGTATGAACAGTTTGAGGGACTGGAACCAACATTAACTGACAAAAACCAACTTCCATCTAAATCATCATAAAAATGTTTAAGTAAAAAAAAAGGGGTGGAGGAGGGCAAAGGGGTTTTCAGATTGGATAAGATCATCACATTTTATCTAATACATTCAATTCTGGCTAGGGTATACCAAAATGGAAACAGGATAACTATAATACAAAACTTCCACTACAGCACACTGCACATATCTGTGTTCCAAGCCCACCCCGTTCCCCTAATGCTTCCAAACTCAACTATTTCCCAGCCTGTTGGGCCTGTCGACGAAGGAGCATGTAGATCTTCTCTTTAATCCAATCTTTGTTATAAGGCTGGTACGTCTGGGTATCAGCTCCGTAAACAAGGCAGCTGAGGTCTGCCAGGTCATCAATAAAATCAAACAACTGACTGATATCATATGTGATAGAGGGGCTGTTGGGATTCATTCTCTTCAGATGTTCTTCATACATTTTACAAACACCTTCCATACACTCATTCACAGATTCATAGTCAGCGTAAGTTCTGCCTTCTGGCCTCTTGGTAGGCTGTACCAGCAAAATGGTGTGAGACATTGCGCCAAAGTCTCCCGCTGCAGCCGATGCCGACTCCGCTGCCGCACACTTGTACAAGTATTTTTATGGACATTTTAGTTTTTATTGGGTTAATACCCAATAGGAATGGAATTTGAGTTGTAAGGGGTACTATTAACTTTAGGACAGTTTGTCAAAGTCCTTGTGTCATTTTAACACTACCATAAGCATCAGAGAATCAGCTCCAATTCCGCATTTTTCTCAACACTTGGTATTGCCAGTCATTCCAATTTTAGCCATTCTGATAGTTGTAAAATGGTATGTTGTGGTTTTAATTTGCATTTTCCCGCTGATTAATTACATTGAGAACTTTTTCATGTGTTTATTGTCTATTTGTATTCCTCTTTTGTGAAAATACACATTTCAGATCTTTACCTATTTTGTGTTGACTTGTCTTTCTTTTTATTATTAAGTTGTAGGCATTCTTTATATATTCTGAATGCTAGTCTGTTACTAGGGAAGCTCCATTATCATATATACAAACATACATGCATATATGTGTGTGTGTGTGTGTGTGTGTGTATTTGATAAAAATGTCATGTATATATAGATCGATATGTCATAATTAACTTTAGCTTGGATTTGTATTTTCTCAAGTGTGGCTTTTGATGTGCAGTGTTTTTAATTTTGATGAAGCCCACTCTATAAAGTTCATCTCTTTAAAAAAATTCTCATTGCTTTGTTTTTAATTGGCTCAGATGAGATCTGTTTTCATTTTAGTTCCCATTTGTTTGTTGCTAGGACAGAGAAACAATAGATTTTTTTAAATAAAGTATTTTTTAAGATTTATTTATTTATGTTTGGTTGTGCTAGGTTTTCATTGCTGTGCACGGGCTTTCTCTAGTTGCCGCGAGCGGGGCAACTCTGTGTTGTGGTGCTCAGGCTTCTTATTGCTGTGGCTTCTCTTGTTGCAGAGCACAGGCTCTAGGACTCATGGGCTCAGCAGTTGTGGCTTATGAGTTCTGGAGCTGGGGCTTGGTAGTTGGCGGTGCGTGTGCTTAGTGCTCTGCGGCATGTGGGATCTTCCAGACCAGGAATCGAACCCATGTCCCATGAGTTGGCAGGTGGATTCTTAACCCCTGGACCACAGGGAGGCCTCTAAAGTTCATTTTTTATGGCTTTTCTTATCTTGCTTGAGAAATCTTTGCCTATTCTAAGGTTGCAAAAAATCCTTTTTTTTTTTTTTTTTTTAAACTTCTTGTGCAGAAGACTTACAGTTTAGCTTTTACATTTAGGTCTATAATCCATATCAGACTTCTGTGGATTTAGCAGTAGGAGTTGAGGTTAATCTTCTTCCCATATGAACATCTTTTTGTAGTACCATTTATTAAAAAGACTGTCATTTTCCTATTCTATTCCTTGGCCTTTGTTGAAAATTAGTTCATTGTGTTTAAAAAATATTTTCCAGTTTAAAATGAAAAAAGCTTTCAGTTTTATGAGATATATTGTATATAGCACATATATATATAGGTGGAGATACAGAATGTGAAATTATGGAGAATAATATGAACACCCTTAACCCATCAATTAAGAACTGGGATATTACTTAGTATTTTTGAAGTTTCTTTTGGATTCTTCCCTAATCTCATGACTGTGTTTCATACAATGGTGCAGTAGTAACCTTATCCTTGGATAGGAGGATGAACAAATTGCCAGTAATGGGGCTCTGGTGGCAAAGTTGTCTTCTATTCTTCAGCCTTTCAAATGCTATATTTCTCATTTCAAATATTCTTCTGGCTGCTGTTGTTCACCACTGTTCCCTCCTTCTCTGAATCTGAAGCCTCTGATCTGAAGAGGATGAGCACACCTCTTAACTATATCACAGATTGTAACCTCCTCCTCTCTGTTTCTTGTGACAGTGCTCTTACCTATTCAGGATGCTTTATAGGAGTTTCTTGAAATCAGTTCATGGCCTCTTTCTGTCCTCTTCCTTGTTATGAGTTTACACCTTTTAAAACAGTTCTTTTTAATGTTTTAATGAAGTTTCTGGACAGATACATGAAAAGCAGCCTATTGTCTTGATTTATAATTCCAGGTTTTATTGTGAAACCTGGAAGGGAATAATGCAGTGCCTGACCAATCAGTGTCTTTTTAGTGAGACACCTAGGTGAGAGAGAGATTTTTTTGTTGGGAGACCTTTTTTATTGTGGTTGTCATAATGTGCTACAGATTTTAAACTAAGCTTCTTAATCTTCAGGCCACTTCATGATAAAATACTGGACTCCATTTGCTTTGGAAACTATACTGCTAGGACCCCTCAGGATCTTCAGGTAGAATATCTGTTTCTAACCTGGAGGCAATAACATCTGTCAAGATCAGTGAGGGCAGTAAAACACCACTTGCAAAGCACCTGACTTTAAAACAAAAATTGATTAGTTATTTAAGTAACATTATAAGGCTGTTTGTTATCTAGCTTAATTCTTTTTATTTTTAAAAATTTATCTTTAATTGAAGGATAATTGCTTTGCAATATTGTGTGGGTTTCTGCTATCAACATGAATCAGTCATAGGTAGACGCGTGTCCCTTCCCTCTGGAACCTCCCTCCCACCCAATCCCACCCCTTTAGGTTGGTGAAGAGCCCCAATTTGAGTTCCCTAGGTCATACAGCAGACTCCCATTGACTATCTATTTTGCGTATGCTAATGTATATGTTTCCATGTTCTCTCTCCATTCATCCCACCCTCTCCTTCTTCCCCACCCCACCCCATATCCATAAGTCTGTTCTCTCTGCCTGCATCTCCATTGCTGCCCTGAAAATCTGTTCATCAGTACCATCTTTCTAGATTCTGTATATATATATAAATACACATATGCATTAATAATGATATTTGTTTATCTCTCTCTGACTTACTTCACTCTATATAATAGGCTCTAGGTTCATCCACTTCATTAGACCTGACTCAAATGTGTTTTTTTTTTAATGGCTAAATAATAGTCCATTGTATATGTGTACCACAGCTCTTTATCCATTCATTTGTCAGTGGATATCTAGGTTGCTTCCGTGTCTTAACTATTATAAATAGTGCTGCATTGGACATTGGGGTACACGTGTCTTTTTCAATTTGGTTTCCTGAGGGTATATGCCTATTAGTGGGATTGCTGGATGATGTTAGTTTGATTCTTAATACTGTTAGTAGAGTCCTTGATTATTTAAAGTTCTGGTTGGTGTCCTTATTTCCTCTTTCCCGACTCCTTGTACTATGAAAAAGAAAAGTACTTGTAGTCTGTGGTATATTCAAACTTTAGTTAAAGAGAAGAGCCTTATTAATATGAATGTACAATAACAAGCTTCTTCTAAACTCTTAAAATTGTCAGGCATCCTTGCAGAGGGAGTGTTCTATCTTTTCTTTTATATGCCATTGCAAATCTTTGATTTTGATTTAGAGCTGCAATATAAATTCATGATTGGGTGGTTTTTCCTCTTTGATATTATCTTGAAATTTTCTCACATTGATAATTTCGCTGTAAAATGTACAGATTGACATTTCCCTCCAAATTATATATGGTTAATCATATTTAAGGTGAGAAAACACTGGCTTAATGCTTAGCTGATCTATCAAAAAATTCTCTCCTTTTCTAGATTACCAGGGAAGATTTAGGACTCCGGGAATGTTTCCCTTGAAGGATGCCGAAATGGGGGCCTTTACCTTCTTTGCCTCTGCTCTGCCCCATGATGTCTGTGGAAGCAATGGGCTTCCTCTCACACCAAATTCCATCAAGATTTTAGGGCGCTTTCAAATCCTCAAGACCATCACTCACCCCAGGCTGTGCCAGTATGTGGATATTTCTAGGGGAAAGCACGGTGAGTTGTTTTCTCATATTTTGTGTTCTCTACCCTGTTACCCTGATTAGGTTATAATATATACAGTAAGTGTTAATCACTCAGTCCTGTCTGATCTTTGCAGCCCGATAGACTGTAGCCAACCCAACTCCTCTGTCCATGAGATTCTCCAGGCAAGAATACTGGAGTGGGTTGCCATTCCCTTCTCCAGGGGATCGTCCCAACCCAGGGATTGAACCTGGGTCTTACTACAGGCAGATTCTTTACCATCTGAGACACCAGGGAAGCCATAATAATAAATAGTAAACATATAAAGTAATCAGAGTGTGTATGTTTGCTTGCCAGTACTTTTCACTCCAGCCAAACTGAGTCATTTGAGTTTTCCTGACTGCATTTGAATGATTCATATTTCTCAGATCTGAGAATCAGGATTTTTAATATTCTTTTTCAGGGAAGCCCCTAGCCTCAAGCATATTTCTTCATCTCTCTAAAAAGGAAATGAAAATTCTAATGTTAGAAACTTAGTGTTCTGTCACTCGTCATGTCCAACTTGCTGTGACCCCGTGGGCAGTAGACCACCAGGTTCCTCTATCCATGGAATTTTCCAGGCAAGAAGACTGAAGTGGGTTGCCATTTCCTTGTTCAGGGGATCTTCCTGACCCAGGGATCGAACCTGCATCTCTTGCATCTCCTGCATTGGCAGGTGGATTCATTACCACTGAGCCACCTGAGAAGCCAAATAGAAACTTAGAGAATTGTTTATTAGAATGTATTTTATGATTGAAAGTAATAATTTGGGCTAAGTTTCTTCCAGTGAAAAGAGGGTCACTAATGTTTTTACCTCTTCGTAGCTGCATTAGTCTTTTTATATAGGATTTCATTTAGTAGAGTTGAACTCTATTGGTTAAAAAGTCAGTATTTCACCAGGAAGAAGTTTACTGCCTTTTTAGTTGTATAGTCCAGGCTTTCCAAGTAGCACTGGTGGTAAAAAATCTGGCTGCCAGTGCAGAAGATGTAAAAGATGTAGGTTCAATCCTCTGGGGGAGGGCATGGCAACCTACACTGTTATTCTTGCCTGGAGAATCCCATGAACAGAGGAGTCTGGCAGGCTATGGTCCATAGAGGCACAAAGAACTGTATATGACTGAAGCGACTTAGCATGCACGCATGCAGTCATAAAGTCAGGTTCTTCTATAACATATCTTAGCCCATTCTCCTTGCTAAAATATGACACTATAAACCGAGTGGCTTATAAACAAGAAGAGTCTGTCCCTCACAGTTCTGGTGGCTGGGAAGTCCAATATTAAGGCAATAGCAGATGCTATGTCTGGTGGGGCCCACTTCTTCCTTAACAGTCAACTTCTCCCTGTAACCTCACTTGGTGGGAGGGGAAAGGGAGTTTTCTCAGGCTTCTTTTACAAAATAAGAGCACTGATCCTGTTTGTGAGGGCCTTACCCTCATGACTTCCCATGTGGGGCTAGTGTCTGTCAATGCAGAAAATACAAGAGACTCGAGTTCAATCCCTGGATTGGGAAGATCCCCTGGAGAAGGGCATGCCAACCCACTTCAGTACTTGCCTGGAGAATCCCTATGGACAGAGAAGCCTGGTGGGGGACAGTCCATGGGGTTGCAAAGAGTCGGACATGACTGAAGCGCCTTAGCATGTACACCCTCATAATCTAATCACCCCCTAAAGCCCCACCACCGGACACCATCACACTGAGGATTAGGTGTCAACAGTGGATTTGGGAGGTGGGGCACAAATGTTCAATCCATAGCACCCCTGAAGGTGCTTATGGTGGCAATCTTCTAATTATTTTAAAATTATTTTTGAAAGCTTAATTTCATGCTTAAAATTATTTTAAATACATTTCAGTGAAATATATTTAATTTCTCTAACAAAATGAATTGTGAAAGTTAACCCCATATACTTACTGATATTTTACTGTTTTTATTCCCTTAAAAATCGCATTTTCAGATGTTTCAACCTAATACTACAGGTGCTGAAAAAAAATGCAAACTCTTATTTCCTTAGTTTTGTTGAAAAACAGGCTAAATGATACTTTCAATTAGCCTAGTCTAGGCTAATTCAATTAGTATAGTCTAGGTTATACCTCTTGATAATAGTTTCTCTGAAAGTTTTATAGAATTTGAATAGAAAATGTTTTTTGTAATAAATGTTATTAATGGCTAACATTTATTGAGTGTTTATTACTTATTAGGCAGTATTCTAAATGCTTTACATATTTTAATTAACTTAATCCTTACAATATTACCATGAAGTAGGAATTCTTATTGTATTCACATTTTACAAATGAGGAAATTGAGGCACAGAGCAATTAAGTAGCCTAGGAACTTTTGGGAAGTTTGTTGTTTACAAACAAGCAAATTTAAAAAACCTTTTTGCTAAAGTTTTTGTTTGCTAAAGAGCTTCAAGACAATAACTAAATTATAGATATCATATGGGGCTTTTATATAACCAAATAGTTGATAGATATTGTCAAGCCCTGAATGCCTCAAATACCACCCCACCCCCATTCAATTACAAATTCTAAAGAATTTTGGCTTGTGGAATTGGCTTAGTTCCAAAATCACTCCAATATGGCCATATGGTAGATCATTATCATCTGTAATGAGTAACCAAAATTTGCTGTTGTATGTCTGGAAATTTGGACTATGCTTATCTTCCCAAATTCTTGCCACTTTACTCAGTTCTTGGGACTTTTTCATTTTTTTTTTTTTGTTTTAAGATTGATTGATTGATTGATTTTTGGCTGTGCTGGATCTTCACTGCCACTCGGGCTTTTCCCTTGTTGGTGGCAGGCGGGGGCTTCTCCTCAGTTGTGGCGCGCTGGCCTTCTCATTGTGGGGGCTTCTCTTGTTGCAGAGCCTGGGCTCTAGGGCACGCAGAGTTCAGTAGTTTCAGCTCCCAGGCTCTAAAGCACAGGCTCAACTCTTGTGGAGCATGGGCTTAGTCTCTCCTTGGCATGTGGGATCTTCCTGGGTCAGGGATGGAACCTGTGTCTCTTGCATTAGCAGACCAATTCTTTACCACTGAGCCCCCAGGGAAACCCAGGACGTGCCCTTTATTTTTTCCCACTGACCGGAAGCCTATTTGGAGCATCACTTCAGATGACTGGAGTCTTGCCTCTGTCCAGTTTTCCCTAGACTTTTTGGAATAGGCTTTTTGGGATAATTGACTCTATAGTCCTAGAGTCAAGAGTCTTGAGCTCCTTTTTTCATCCTTCTACCTAAGTGAGCCTCTGTAAATACTGAACTAGGAAAAACCTTATGACATAATCTCTCTGGGGAACCCTACTGCTAACTGCATAGGAAACTTCTTTTTAGTTATAAATGTCAGGTAGGAAGTAATCTCCTTGGACACGGTTAAACTCTGTTAATGTTGAACCCAGCTCAACAATGTGGGTAGTCTCCTTAGGCCCAATCACCATATTCCTGGTTACTCTGTTTCCCCTGACTGCCCTGCTCCTAGGTCTCCACAACCCTCTCTTCTGGGGACACACAGATTATGGATGTGTATAAAATTCATATATTTTAAGTTTGACTGCCTAGAATGAAAATGTCTGTTATTGTCAAAAGGTTAGGGAATTCGATTACTTCCCCCCCCTCCCCCCCACTATTGGCAATCTTCCTTGTCCTGAAAAGTCATAAGCCTAAGGAGTAACTAATGAAATTAGAGTAAGTGTTGTTGTGAAGGTCCGTTGTTCCAAACATCCCAGTCATTTCAGTTACATTTAGTTTGAAAAATTTGAAAAGTCAACAATCTCCTAAGTGAACAATGCATGTTTCTCAATGATGTAATCATTTTGGTTTGGACTGTACTTGCCTCCTCAAAGAATCTTGATTTTGGTTTCTTTATCCTGTTCTTGCTACACAGATATCTCTCATCTTGTCATTGTTAGTCCCACACTCTCCTCATTTTACTTGGAGTAAAGTGTAACATGTGGTTCATTTTAGTAACATTGTTTTCACATGTTAGGTTAGCTCAGAAGTCCAGCTTTCACTGTTTCCAACAGATCATTCAGAACTGATTCAAGATGATATTAGTTTCTTGCTAACTCAGCAGGTTGAAGGAGAAGACAATGGCAACCCACTCCAGTACTCTTGCCTGGAAAATCCCATGGACGGAGGAGCCTGGTGGGCTGCAGTCCATGGGGTCGCGCAGAGCTGGACACAACTGAGGCGACTTAGCAGCAGCAGCGGGTTGATGTATTTAATCTCAATAGTTTACATTCGAATTTTTGAACTTGATTTATCAAAAGAGAAATTGAGTAGAATATCTTTAAAAGAAAAAAAGGTCAATAAAGCATGAAAATACTTAAGTTAGCAAACTTAATCTTTTTCTTTTGAACTTGAAATCTCAGCAGTTTTAGAAGGATAGAAATGATTATAAATGGTAATATATTCCAATTGATTTGGTATTGATTACTCAAAAATTTTTTTATTGCTAGGAAAATCAAGAACAAAATTATTTTAATTAATAGATTTGAAATTTAGGTAGAGAATAATTGAATTGTTAAGGGACTATAAGATAATTCTGTATCTCTAGCTGCATATGTATATTTCAACCTGAGTGTTTGTATCAGTTTAGAGTTCCATCAAAGAAACAGAACCAGTAGGAGATAGATGGCTAGATAGCCTGATAGCTATAGATTAATTGGTTGAGGTTCGTTTATGTGATTGTGGGGGCTGGGTAAACTAGCCTGAAATCCATAGGGCAGATCATCAAGGACAAGGTGAATTTTTATATAATAGCTGAAGTCATAGTCCCAAGTGTGGGATTTCTTCTCCGGAGAAGACTGGATTCTGCTCTTAAGGCCTTAGTAACTGATTGAATCAGGACCACCCAGATTATCTAGGGTAATCTTCCTTACTCACATTAAACTAATTGTAGATTTTAATCAATTATTTAATGTCTTCACAGTAACACCTAGGCTAGTGTTTAGATAACTGAAGACTATAGCCTAGCCTGTTGACTCATAAAACTGACCATCACAGTGACCTAGTAATGATAGTATTTCTTTTTTTTTTTATTATGATACTGTTTCTTAAGCCCAGAATTACCCTTTATCAGTTTGACTGTATAAATATTTATTTAGAGATTTTATTTAAAAGGTGATGAGCTAATCTCAGTTTTTACTGTGAAGAATGATGCAGTAACTGTTTTCTAATAACCTTTCATATTATCTTAACACATTCACAATTTACCTTTCTCTAAGTTAAAAGTTTTTTGAATCTTTCATTTAGTCCCTCTTTTTATTCAACTACTTTATTATCTGTCTTGCTTAATACTGTACTCTCTTCCATGTCTTAGCCTTGACTTAAAACTTACAGTTCAAACTGTATGTACACTACAGAGATATGTGGCACTCATCAAATATTTCATATAAGAAAGATTAAGTAATGGTTCTTGTATGTTCTACTCTTTAAAGTTCATCTTGGTGTCACATTTGTTTTTTATAAATAATGCCACTATATTGCTGATTTATATTTGGCATATTATTCTCAGATATTTTTGTCATATTTTATTCTGTGAAACTATATTGTTTTATAACAAGCAAAAGTTATTTTCAAACAGTTGTTTAGAGTTTCAGGATGAAGTCCCTCTAATGATTTTTTGGGAAAAAACCTGGTTCATATTGGAAACATTGTCTTGGTATATATTCCATTACCTCTTGGAGAAATCTTTGATATTCTGCCAGGATTATGGGTCTGCTATATTAAAGTAATATTTACTTTAAGGTTCCATAGGATCCTGAAGCTTTGGCAAACTCTAGTTTATGAAGTTTTGAAGGAGTTTCCTGAAGAAACTTGATAATTTTTTTTTTCTAAATCATTGTAAACCTGACATATTTTATACTAATGTCAGACACTTTAACATCTTTCATAGATATGGAGACTTGTGAATATCTAATTTAAAATTATTAATTAATGGAGTATGCACATTTTAGCATATTCTGATGGTCTTTTATATTAAAATCAGTGCTATTGTGATATTATTATGCCTAGTTTACAGAGCAGGCATATGCTTTTCTACACAGTACAGATTTCTATTTAGAAAATGACAGTCTTTATATGAGACCTATTCATTTCTAATGGCCACGTTGAGTCTTTGCTCAAGTTAACTAATTTAACAAATATTTTTAAGTTAGATGTGTATATTTGAGATATTGTTTTAGACACTGGTGATGCATTTTGAACAAGACCAAAATCTTTCCTGCCATCAGGAAATGTATTATCTAGTAAAGAACAAAGACATTAGATAAAAATGTATACAGATCCTTAGAATTTCAAATGAATGCTACAAAAGAAAAGTACATTGTGAAATGGATCATATTATAGGAGGCGCGAATTGATTTGGGGGGACCAGGAAAGTGTTTCTGGAGGAAATCACATTTAACTGTATAGTAATAATAATAGCTAACACTTAGTGATTCTTGTATGCCAGGTCCTTATTATGTATTAACTCATTTCAACCTCACAACAGCTCTATGAGGTAGGTCCTTATTTTTCCCTCATTTTGCAGAAGAGGAAACCTTGGCATAGAGAGGTTAGCAAACTAATGAGTGTTAAGCCTAAAATCTGAGCCCAGACCAAATAGCCTGTGCCCTTAGTCACTGTGTTTCATGATAGGAGTTCACTGGGAGGAAAACAGGGAGGAGCATCTTAGGCAATAGGAATCCATGTAGTAGTACTTTAAGGCAGGAAAGGTGAAGGAAGACCAGTGTGACTGGAAGTTGGTGAGCAATATACAAAATGACAAAAAACAGGCTAAACAGGGAGTTGCGTATTCAGTTTTATTAATTATTATTTTAGCACTTAGATTTTAGCATGAAAATATGTTGGAGGGCAGTAACAATTTATTGGAGATGATTGTTTAAGAGATTGTTTTAGTAATCTAGTAAGAAATGATGTTGGCTTAGACCAAGATTGTGGCAGATGAAGCAAACCACAGATTCTGTAGACATTTGAAAGATAGAAATAGCAGTGCCTTTTCTTTGGATTTGAGAAATGGAGGTTACTCCTAAGTTTGTAGCCTGAGCAGCTAGCAGGATAGTGGTACCATTTACTAAAGGGAAAGGCTTAAGGAGCAAACTATAAATTCAGTTTGAGTTATGTTGAGTTTGAGGTGACTTTTATATTAAAGTGAGGAATTGGCTATGGAGTTTAAAAGAGAACTCTGGGCTTGAGGTAAAATTCAGGAGTTTTTCAGCCTTGGGAGTAAATAAGGAGAAAACACAGTTGAAGACCCAGAATCAAAAGTGGAGAAAGTATTTAAATTTGGGTAGAGGGGAAATTCCCTGGTGGTCCAGTGGTTAAGACTTGGTGCTTTCACTGCTGTGGGTCTGAGTTCAGTCCCGGGTTGGGGAACTAAGATCCCACAAGCTGCATGGTGCAGCCAAAAAATTAATAAATAAATAAATTTGGTTAGAAGAGTTACCTGTCTACCAAGGAGACTAAGGAGAGGTGGCCGGTTAGGTGTAAGGAAAACTGACAGAAATGCTGCTTCCCATTTTGGTTTTCTGACAGCATTATTTGCTTTTTCCTTCTAGATCTTCATATTTGTGCTAAATCACTTGGAATTCAACCTTGCATGCTCTTTTCTGTATTGAATTGAAGATCTAGACCTTTAATTTCACAGCTTTCTTTCCTGTTAATTTTCCTTTTTTTCTCTTCATTTCATGGTCTTTCAAATTTAATTTTCTTTAGGTTCCTGTTCAGATCACCCGGAGCTTTATTTTTTTTCCCTGAAAGTGATGGTATTCATTTGAAGTAGTTTAAATTTTGTGTTTCAGGTCATTCTATATAATGCCACCACCTCAGTTTGAGCTTCCAAGAAGTGACCCATATGCATCCTGCCCTCACACTTCACATGATTGCCTGTGTACCATTGTCCATCATCTCTTCTCTCAGCAGGCCAGGCCTTACCTTACCTTGAACCAGTGCTTACTGAGAGTATTTCCTTTTATTGGATCTCCTCCTCTGAAATTTTCCCTGTCTTCTGCTCTCATTTTTCTACCTTTGCCATTTTTCATTTTCACCAAACCTCTATGTAGTCATCACTATTTCCAGTCCCTTTTACTTTATTTCTTTTTCTTGTCTTAGTTTGCCATCTGAGAAGGAAATGGCATTCTGCTCCAGTATACTTGCCTGAAAAATCCCATGGACAGAGGAGCTTGGTGGGATACAATCCATAGATTCACAAAGGGTTGGACATGACTTAGCGACTAAACCACCACCACCATTTTGTGTTTACTTTCTTCCTTGTCTTTTAAACTTATTTTGCATAGATATACATAGTACTCCAATTTCTTTTAAAAACTTTCTCTCTTCTTAAATAACCTTATCAAATCCCCAACCACTTGTGAGCCCAATTGTGCCTTTTATCTGGTTCCTCCTATGTTGTTTCATCTAAAAAGAAAGAGTTTGTTGATCTGCTACTGTGTCAGACAATGTGTCAGTCAATAATTAACTAATGATTACATTAAAAATATATGGACTGACCTTCAAAACTGTGCAACTTATTCTTAGACAGTTGATCTGTTGGAAAATAAAAATTCCATCATACTATATATTGTGCTCATGAAAATTTTATATTATTACTAATCTCAGCAGGCCTCATGATATTATAAACAATCGCAAGTTGATTTTCAGTTCTTTCTCCATAATTGTGATTCATAACATTTCTACTTTTCTCCAGTTTCTGAATTCAGTTTCAGAGACCTTATGTTTGAGCCAGACTGTCAAGACAGTTTGTCCCTAGATCCCAGTTTCCCCTTCACTTCAAAATTTCTTTATATATTCATCCAAGCTTTTTCTTCTGCTAGCCTGTGTCAGAAGAAGGATCACTTCTTTTTGCCAAAGGTAACCCTTTCCAGCTGTTTTTCCTAATGCACAGGGGAGAAATCGTAGAGAAAAAAACGAAGATTGTTATTTGCTGTATTGTTTTCTAACACATTTATCTTTTTATTCTAGATATCTGATTTTTATGTAGTTACTGTAGACTTTGAAAAGCTCTTTTCAAATATCATTTGTTAATATCTTTAGTGGAGTATATTATTTTGTTACTAAAACATTGTATTAATCAAATATAAAGTGCATTTAGTTTTTTCTTTTTTTTTTCACTCAGAGAGATTGGTGGTGGTAGCTGAACACTGTGAACGGAGTCTAGAAGACTTGCTTCGTGAAGGGAAACCCGTGAGGTACTGTCTGTAGTATCAGGACAGTTAAATGAGAAGCAGAAATTGACAAACAAAAAGGCATTTTACCTAGAACTACAGGGTGTTAGTTTCTTCTGTTACTTGTTTAATGATAAAATCCAGTTGTAAATATTTATATTAGGAAAATTAATTCACAGGCCTCATAGAAATTCAGCATTGACATCACCCAGTGTTCAGCTTTTGTAGGCATTTTGCAAAGTACTTAATAAAAAATTACCCTTTTTAGTACTTAGCTTTTCTTTTCTTTTTTTTTTAAGAAGCAAGGAAGAATTTATTTTTTTTTCTTTTTTTTTTTTTCCATTTATTTTTATTAGTTGGAGGCTATTACTTTACATCATTACAGTAGTTTTTGTCATACATTGAAATGAATTAGCCATGGATTTACATGTATTCCCCATCCCAGTCCCCCCTCCCACCTCCCTCTCCACCCGATCCCTCTGGGTCTTCCCAGTGATGTTCATCGCAGCACTGTTTATAATAGCCAGGACATGGAAGCAACCTAGATGCCCATCAGCAGACGAATGGATGAGGAAGCTGTGGTACATATACACCATGGAATATTACTCAGCCATTAAAAAGAATTCATTTGAATCAGTTCTAATGAGATGGATGAAACTGGAGCCCATTATACAGAGTGAAGTAAGCCAGAAAGATAAAGACCGTTACAGCTTTTCTTTAGCATAGCTGAAGTTAAGAGTATTTTCCAGAGACAAGTACATGGTAACTTCTCACAGGGTACTGGTGTTCCTCGGAACATGGTGAACTGTATAAACTAAGGCCACGTTGAAGAATAGAGAGAAATAATATTCATGGCTTGTGCGTAATCTAATCATACAGTTTAAATTCAGTTATTTCAATGACATATGAAATTTGCTTTCTATCTCAGGCATTTTGGGCAAGAAAAATATGTGATCTAAACTTTATTGTAAATGTACTATTAAATGAGCTTCTTCACTGATTTTCTGAAATTATCTTAAAATTATGAAAAATATTTTTAATGAATAAAATTGTACTAAAACATGAAGATTGGTTGCCTTGAACTTTTATATGATTGTAAGTATCCATCCTACATTTAAGAAATATTCTTATTCTTGGTCAATACTTTTTAATCATTGTTATATTATAGATAATGATACATCTTTTTCAAAGGAGGAAAAATGTGTGTCTTAATAAATGGTAGTAATTTAATAGCAGCAAAAGAAGTAAGTTGAATAAAAGTACTTTCACTGCTACTTTAAATGGTTTGGTTTAAGTGGTCTCTGGAATGCAAGATGCAGATATCAAATCCACTATTGCCTCCCTTGCTTTTTTAGAAAAATCTAATGTGACCATAGTAATAAAAGAGAATTTTCTGTTTATTAAACATAACTTAGTAAATATGTTTTTACATATATAACTTTTGCATGTCACAAATCTTTGATTGTATTTGTTAAAGAGCATATTGCTCTTTGCTCACCAATTTAAATTTGTACTTTAGTTTATAGGCCACCTATTCTAAAATTTAAAAAAAAAAAAAATCTTCATGAAAGTTCAGTCAGTTGCTCAGTCATATCCGACTCTTTGTGACCTCATGGACTGCAGCACGCCAGGCCTCCCTGTCCATCACCAACTCCCAGAGTTTACTCAAACTCATGTCTGTTGAGTCGGTAATGCCATCCAACCACCTCATCCTCTGTCATCCCGTCTCCTCCCGCCTTTGATCTTTCCCAGCATCAGGGTCTTTTCAAATGAGTCAGCTCTTCACATGAGGTGGTCAAAGTATTGGAGTTTCAGCTTCAACATCAGTCCTTCTAATGAATATTCAGGACTTATTTCCTTTAGGGTGGACTGGTTGTATCTCCTTGCAATCCAAGGGACTCTCAAGAGTCTTCTCCAACACCACAGTTCAAAACCATCAATTCTTCAGCACTCTGCTTTCTTTATAGTCCAACTCTTACATCCGTACATGACCACTGGAAAAACCATAGCTTTGACTAGATGGACCTTTATTGGCAAAGTAATGTCTTTGCTTTTTAATATGCTGTCTAGGTTATTCATAACTTTTCTTCCAAGGAGTAAGCATCTTTTAATTTCATGGCGGCAGTCACCATCTGGAGTGATTTGGGAGCCCCCCAAAATAGTCTGTCATTGTTTCCAGTTTCCCCATCTATTTGCCATGAAGTGATGGGACCGAATGCTGTGATCTTAGTTTTCTGAATGTTGAGCTTTAAGCCAACTTTTTCACTCTTCTCTTTCACTTTCATCAAAAGGCTCTTTAGTTCCTCTTCACTTTCTGCCATAAGGGTGATGTCATCTGCATATCTGAGGTTATTGATATTTCTCCCAGCAATCTTGATTCCAGCTTGTGCTTCATCCAGCCCAGTGTTTCTTATGATGTACTCTGCATATAAGTAAATAAGCATGGTGACAATATACAGCCTTGATGTACTCCTTTTCCTATTTGGAATTAGTCTGTTGTTCCATGTCCAGTTCTAACTGTTGCTTCCTGACCTGCCTACAGATTTCTCAAGAGGCAGGTCAGATGGTCTGGTATTCCCATCTCTTTCAGAATTTTCCACAGTTTGTGGTGATCTACACAGTCAAAGGCTTTGGCATAGTCAATAAAGCAGAAATAGATGTTTTTCTGGAAGTCTCTTGCTTTTTTGATGATCCTGCAGATGTTGGCAATTTGATCTCTGGTTCCTTTGCCTTTTCTAAATTCAGCTTGAACATCTGGAAGTTCACGGTTCATGTATTGCTGAAGCCTGGCTTGGAGAATTTTGAGCATTACTTTACTAGCGTGTGAGAATAGTGCGATTGTGCGGTGGTTTGGGCATTCTTTGGCATTGTCTTTCTTTGGAATTGGAATGAAAACTGACCTTTTCCAGTCCTGTGGCCACTGCAGCTGCATGGTGCTGTAACGAGTGGCGGTGAGAAGATACCCCACGTCCAAAGTCAGGAGCGGCGGCTGCTCTTAGCTGGAAGGGTGTGAAGAGATACCCCACATCCAAGGTCAAAGAAACCTCAGTAAGATGGTAGGCACTGGAAGAGCAGTGAGGAGAAACCCAGGCCCGAGGGCAAAGGAGAAGCCCCAGCGAGATGGTAGTAGGGGTGAATTTGCGTTTAGAATCAAACCCCATTCCTGCCAGAGACACTCAGAGGGCTCAAACAAACCTCATGCACACCAGGACCCAGAGACCCACAGAGACTGAGACTCCTAGGTAGAGGAGCCCCTTAAATTTGTGCCCAAGAGGTATCTCATTTGCCTCCTTGTAGTCCCAGCCCTGCCTTGGTATTTGATCAAGAAAATGCGTGTCCAACAAAATATTTGCACAGTAATGCTTCCAGAAACATGGTAGCCCCAAACTGGGAAGGACTCAAATGTCCATCAACAGGAGGATAGGTGAGCAGATGGCAGTATGTTAATCAACAATAAAATGGAATCAACTACTGATATACACATGATGAACCTTAGAAATATGGTGAGCAAAAGGCAGATACAAAAGTCATATTCTTCTATTTATATGAAGTTCTAAAACAATTAAAACTCATCTACGATGGTATAAAAACAGTGTTTGACCCTGGTTGGGAAGTGGGAATACAGGAACTGATTCCAAATGGCCTTGAGAGAACTTGCTGAGGAATGGAAATTTTTGCATCTTCATTGGGGTATTACTTATATAGTACATATTCTTGCAAAACCTGTCAAAATTCACTGACATATATACCTTAAGAACTTGCATTTCACCTATGTACATTATACCTCAAAAAATTTTAAGAGTCTGTTGAGATATTTACTTGACTTGGACTGTGAGTCTCTCATATAGCAACAAGATTTATTGTTAATGAAGATGCTTCATCCAGTAACATACTATTGTATTTTATTGTTTCTATATGAAGAATTAGTATGAATTAATTATTGTTGGGTAGAAAACTACTTCAACACTTAGCAGCTTAAAACAGTAATAAGTTAAGTCGCTCAGTCGTGTCCGACTCTTTGCAACCCCTTGGACTGTAGCCCATCAGGCTCCTCCGTCCATGGGATTCTCCAGGCAAGAATACTGGAGTGGGTTGCCATTTCCTTCTCCAGGGGATCTTCCTGACTCAGGGATCAAACCCAGGTCTCCTGTATTGCAGGCAGATGCTTTAACCTCTGAGCCACCAGGGAAGCCCAAAACAGTAATAAGCATTTATCAGTTTATATAGTTTCCCTGGGTCAAGAATTCAGGAATGTTTAGTTGAGTGGTTTTTTAGCTCAGGATCTCATGTCATTGCAGTCAGTGTATCAGCTGGGGCTGTAGTCATCTGAAACCTCTATTAGGGATTCAAGATCTGTTTCTAAGTTAGCTCACTTATTTGGTGCTGGTTGTTGACAGGAGGTTTAATTTCCTCCCTATCTTGAGGGCCTTTCTACAGACCTCTTGGCTGAATTCTCACAGTATGGTGGTTGGCTTCTGCTAGAGTGAGTGCGTGAGCGATCTAAGAGATGAGAGGAAACAAAGTGGAACCTGCAATGCCTTTTATGACCTCGCCTCAGGAGCCACACATCACTATATCTTATTGGATACAAAGCTCAGCCAGCCAGGACCAAAAGAATAAAAATAAAATAAAATACAGCTCCAAAAAAAAAAACAAAAACAAAGCTCAGCCATTAACTCTATTCATTTGGGAGAAGACAACACAAGAATGTGAATCCCAGGAATCCAGGGGCATTGGGGGTCATCTTAGAGGCTTGCTGTATGTCACCCTGCTTGTTTAACTTATATGCAGTGTGCATCATGAGAAACGCTGGGCTGGAAGAAGCACAAGCTGGAATCAAGATTGCACCATCCTGAAGGAGATCAGTCCTGGGTGTTCATTGGAAGGACTGATGTTGAAGCTGAAACTCCTGTACTTTGGCCACCTCATGCGAAGAACTGACTCATTGGAAAAGACCCTGATGCTGAGGGGGTTGGGGGCAGGAGAAGGGGCCGACACAGGATGAGATGGCTGGATGGCATCAC